AAAAAGTGGTAAACCAGGCTATCCACGTAACAATATGGCCGCGGCACGTCTCTCAACCACAGGTTCGCACTGTTTATATCATGGAACACATGTGTGTCACTGCAAGATTTCGTTTTAAAAAATGAAGATCTAATGATAACGTATGATAATAAATATCTGTCAAAAGTTTTAATAAGTATTTCAATGCGATCACCCTGAATGAGTCCCAAAACTGCCATGTATCGGCGAATGGTCAATATTTTTGCTTGTCGAATGCTGTGATGTAGGGGTCGCCTGGTACCCAACAGCCAGACATGCAGTGGTTGTACTATTATAGTAGGTAGCCTATATGAACTCAGCAATTTGCTCTGTAGCTTACGAACATAGATTTGTACAGTCTCCCTGCCTAGTAGTAGAGTTGAAGTGGCCGACTTCTCCGCCCGGCCGACATCTCCGACAGGCCGACCTGATAACAGGCCGACTTCTCCTACAGGCCGACTTGGCGATTGGCCGACTTCTCTCGTATTCGTTATAACACATAAAACGGAGCCCGACACAAAGCATTAGCCGCCCTTTGCAAGAGGAGCTTGAGTGAATTACAGAGACTATGGCTGTTAGAATATCCGTCAACAAAATCAACGACCAACTACTGACATGTTCTATCTGTTTGGAGCGCTACAAGAACCCAAAGATTTTACCGTGTCACCATTCATTTTGTGAGAATTGTTTGGTGGGGTGGATGGAACAACATGGCGGACTGGAGTGCCCTAACTGTAGAAAAAGATATTCTGTACACATGGGAAGCATTCAAACACTTCCACCTAGTATCGTGACAAATTCTATGATAAGATTAATTGAGGAACAAGAAAATCAAGGTGGTGGAACATGCCATGGTTGTGCAGAGTATTCATCAGCAAACAGGTGCGTCAATTGTGCTATGGATCTCTGCGCAACATGTACCAGAGCGCACACAAAAGCACCAATCACGCGACATCATCGCATCGTTGCTGCTGATCACTTTAAACAATCTAAAGGGTCTGCAGATTTGTCGGTAGCATACTGTACTACTCATGATGAAAAAATAATTGAACTTTACTGCGAAACGTGCCAGACGTCAATCTGCCATTTATGTCTGAGGTCAGAGCACAAAGGCCATTCCGTGGTCGATTTACAGGGAGTAGCCGATGAACTTCGCAATGTGTTTGCAAGCAACATTTCCCAGTTGAATGCACAACTAATTGAATTGGAAAATGGAAAGCAAAATGTGGAAATACAATCCAAAGAATTAGCAAAACAACTTATGATTCAAAAAAAGGCGATAAAAACACATTCACGGGAAATAATAGAGCAGTTAATAAATGTAATAAAGTTGGAGAAACGTGATCATCTGCAAAAAATAACAAATGACTATGATAAATTATTACAAGAAATCAACAACGAAATGCATCAGTATGACACAACTGGGGCACTACTGGAAAGTACAATAACATTCGTGGACAATTTATTACAATATGGTAGTGATGCACAGCTGATGAAAGAAAGTGACGAGGCATCAAAGAAAATGCACACTGTGATGTCACTTAAAACAAAATGGAAAGATACCGATAGAACACTACCACTGTTTTGTCCTGGTGTCACCACAGTGCGTGGCAAGTTAGGAATATTCAAAAAACCCAACAGTAGAATAAGGAGCATTTTCAGAATATTTTTTCAATTTATTCTGGGTATTGTTTGTTTATATCTATTCCGTTTATTAGAATTTGAGAAAGCGCCAGTGCCACTACAGTTAGAGGTTATTTCCACTGATTTCATTCAGCTTGTTATTTTTATTATAAGTATTATTATTATTCTCGTATATATATGTTGTTGCCGCAAATCAAAAGCTACGTAACCAACATTGTATTGTGGTATGAAACGGTGCATCCCAGATTCAAATTGTTCAATGATTCTTTAAACCTTAAATTTTTAAAATACGTAAAGATGTGATGTTGTCATCTCTATTCTCCTCCAGAACCACACAGTCTATTTCGGCACATATGGTTATTAGGCTGGAAGATGAAAAAAGCCCTGAACGATACTTGATCAGTTATTAACTTTTTTGCAGATAATTTTATGTGCAATTATCTCCAAGAGTTAATGTTGTATAATGTACCTTTTGCACCTGGAATTTGACAGTCAGAAATGTATTTCCTTTTTCATTATTTATTTGAGACTAATTGGGTTAATTACAGAGAATACGTAGTGTCTGCATATTTGTATGATTCCTGTATGAGTGTTTTCCCCATGTAATGCATTATCGTGCTTTCCCATATACGCTACGCAGCAACAATGATTGACAACACCGCAAAGGATGATGGGAGAAAACCAGAGGTACAAGAAACAAAAGCGCGGGAGCATGATGCCAACTCTTCACTCTGCCGTGTTTCACTGAAATAACGGACTGTGCGTTACAATCTTAGCACATACTGGTGAACGATAATACTGAGATCTGCCAGGACTCGTGATTTGAGTTGAAATTGATTGCAACTCGTAGAATACCAAAAGTTCAAGTTACCGACGACTAAAGAAACCGCAATATTGGGAGCACGAGACCGTACAAACAAGTACAGTGTACGCGTTCAAGCCAGTGAACGTTTTTCCGCGCAGAAACGACACAGTGATCACGAAGAAAACCG